AAAACTTAAAAAATGATCACACACAAACACAGCGGCATCACCTCAAAGATAAAATACTAGTTGTTTGTAAGTCATCCAGCCATGGTTTGTTTTTCCAGCTGTACCTCTGTTATACACAAACTAAAATCGTTTCCTCTAAGTCTTCTGGCAGGCCTCCTCTCTCCTGAAGATGTATTTTAGAAGTGGAGGCATGACATACTGTCACAGTAAATCATTGCACTGTTTTTCTTACAGTTTTTGTGTTTTTAATATGAATGGTTTAGTGGCATTTTCTGGGCACACAAATTAAGAGAAAGGAGAAAAGCTTTATCACTCCAGGAGAATGGTTCACCTCCACAGATACAAACACCAGTCTTGCCCTATCAGAAGGTTTTTCTGTAATTCTGTAAAGGGTGTAGTGACATCCAGGCAGTGGTGACGGGGCTGTCGCTATAGTACATCTGTGCAATGGGACATAGCACAGCTGCAAGGTTGTACTGCCCTAATGTGGACCCACACTGTCAGCGGTCCAGGAACTGGCTCGTTCAGTAGTTTGGTGTTCCTCATGCTTGTGTGAGTCTTTACATTTGTTTACGACACTGATAGTCAGCAGGTAATGAGCTAAAGTTACAAAGCAGGTGGATGACTTTAACTCATGTCAGTAACTTTGAAGCTGTTTACTAGATTGGAGAGCTGAACGTAGGCCATCACGTGGTAGTTACTGTGTAGCCTTCAAATCCACAACAACACTGGGTTTATGCAAGATGTTGGAGACTTACCCACTTTATGTACTGGCAGTGGTGTTCATCCAGGAAGTCATGGATCTCCAGTTACCGTCTTGACTTCTCTTTGGCTAACAGCTGTTTCCTTTTGTTATTAACTTCCACAGACTGCAGTTATTCCAGTACTCCAACTCCAAAGCTAAATCATCACAACTGCACCGAACTGTAACCTAGACGTAACCCTACAGCTTTGAAGTTAAAACACAGTTTGAATAAATGTGACAAAAAGGTTTCCTCACTTCAGTGGTTAAACAAGATAACCAAATACTCAACAGCATATGTTTGGAACTGGACTGTGGCATAATCTCGAGGTTCTTTCTTTATTTCTAGGAAAGCTGATACCTTCCAGCTAAAATCAAGGCTCGCTGCTCGGCACAATCACAAATGTGATGTACATCTGAGTGTGCGCAGCCCGTCCCAGCTTGGGAAGGTCTTCCTACACTCACTCAGGGTGTTTGGCTGAGCACTTCTTAAGATCGGTGCAACCTGCTCATGAACAGGTAGCATCCCTGGGAGTGTTTTTACTTTTCTTTGCTTATGTGATCTAATTAAGGATGTACCGCTGGGGGCGCAGAGAGGTTCTGAGGAGTTGAGGAAGTTTTCAGACTTTGGGTAAAAGCTGTTTTCTGGCAAACTGTCACAGCTACTGCCCGCCTGCATGACAGACAAACAGGGAACGTCTGCAGCCACACAAAACCACCATAACTGGGACTTAACCTGTGGAAAACATGGCTGTGAAATATGGGCAGTTCTTGACGACCCCGATGAAACCCACAGGCTGAAACATGTTGGTGAAGTAATACAGCTGATCTTTATACCAAGTGTTGCTTGAGCTTTGAACTCAGACCGCTCCTGTCCATGCTCTTTGGGAGACGGTGAAGCTGTGCAGGAAAACCTTCATGCTGTCATTAGATACGAGTGCTGACTTGGTTCCTGCTGTAACAGGATGAGTTTCTGTATGAACACTCAGAGTTATCTTTCTACATTTAGTCTCTAATCGATGAATTTAAAAAAAAATGAATTTCAATGATGTAGCTGATGTAGATGATTTATTTCTATCAATAGATTGAACTAGAACTGCTGTTTTAGTTATTTAGCCTCCTAAATTCGCTCCATGATTCTTCTGGGGTCTAAAT